AAAAAAAAAAAAAAAAAAAAAAAGAAAGAAAGAAAAGAAAAGAAATAAGAAAACAACAAAAAACCCAAAAGATAAAATGTCTCCAAAGATAAAAAGAAAAGTTGAGGACGGGGCTAAGACGGCTCAGTGGTTGAAAGCACTCACTGCTCTTACAGAGGGTCTGGATTCTGTCCAGTACCCACGTAATGGCTCACAACCACCTGTAACCACAGCTCCAGAGCATTCAATGCTTCAGATCTCGACAGTTTCCTGCATACATGTGGTGCATATACCCAGGAACATACACATACACGGAAAATTATTTTTAAGTTGATGAAAACTAGATTCTCTGCTCAACAAGATTCACAGTGGTGTGTAGTTTCCTCCGGAAATGAAGGTGACACACAATGTGACTTGCCCTAGTCTGGGGCTGTCAATGCTAGTGACCACAGGAGGCACCACCTGGTCAAAAGCAGAAGCAGGAAGGCTGAGTGAGGAGCAGCTCTGCCCCCAGGACCTCCTGAGGGCTGAGCACCTAAGCCTGGGATTTTCACAAACTACCAGGAAGCTGAGACCAAGGGGCACAGTGGTGGCACATGCCAACCTCTGTGTGATGCCAGAATTTGGAACAGTGCAGGACTGAACCCTCATCGACTGCTGTCTCCAACCTCTCTGACTGCACTGAACTGCCATGCTACCTGGAACTGGCCGCTACTGTCTCCCTGCCCTCGACAAGCCCAACCCAGTGCCTCCTCTTCCGGGAAGCCCCTCCCCCATCTCCTAGCTTCTTCCTCTTCCAGGAAGCCCCTCCCCCATCTCCTAGCTTCTTCCTCTTCCAGGAAGCCCCTCCCCCATTCTCCTAGCTTCTTCCTCTTCCAGGTCTCCCCCCCCTACCCCCCAGTTCTAGGTTCTTCCTCTTGGTCACTTTGCACCTGGGTCTTTCCCAACACCAGCTGCACTTCGACTTTTACTTTACTTCTTAATCATATAACTGAGAGACAAAGAGTTAGGGATTTTGCTTAATGGTAGAGCAAGCACAAAGTCCTGAGTCTGGTCCTCAGTACATACTAAGAAAAGAAAAAAAAAAAAGATGCATGAATCTCCTTTTAAAAGTTATTATTGGAGCTGAAGAAATGGCTCAGTGGTTGAGAGGACCCAGGTTCAATTTCCAGCCCCCACATGGCAGCTCACATTTGTCTGTAACTCTAGTTCCAGGGTTTCCGACACCATCACACAGACATACATGCAGGCAAAACACCAATAAACACAAAATAAAAATAAATTATATATATGAAAGTTATTATTATTAACCTGGTGGTAGTGGCCCATGGCTTTAATTCCAACACTCAGGAGTCAGAGACAGGTGGATCTCTGAGTTCAAGGACAGCCTGGTCTACAGAGCAAGTTCCAGTACAGCCAGAGCTAAACAGAGAAACCCTCTTTCAAAAAAACAAACAAAAGTTGTTGTTGTTGTTGTTGTTATTTTAGCTTTTTTGAGACAAGGTCCCACTATGCAGCTCTGGCTGTCCTAGAACTCACTATGTAGACCAGGCTGGCTTCAAACTCACAGAGCTCCTCCTGCCCCTACCTTCCGGGTGCTGCGATTAAAGGTGTGAGCCACCGTACTTGACTCTCTTTAAAATTTTTAGGTTAGATGGGGCATGATACTGGTGCATTCCAGAGCCAAAGGCAGAGGGAGGTGGAGCTCTGTGAGTTCAAGGCCAGTCAGGTTATCTGGGGCTGGCAGGATGGGTCAGTGGGCAGAAGTGCCTGCTGCACACAACTGGCAGCGTGGTGGGAACTCAGCCCGACGGAGGGTGACGAGGCTCAAACTGGTCAGCCTTTGGTCCCTATGTTGTTCCCTTACAACTAGAAGTTGTCGTCTGTCCCTGCTGAGTTTGGAACCCATGGTAGAAGGAGAGAAACAACTCCAGAGAGCTGTCCTAGAATCTCCATATGTGTGCCATGGCATCCCTGCCTCACTCTCTTAAACACACACACACAAATAAATCAACTGAAAAAGTTAGGTAAGCATGCCAGGCACGATGGATCCCATGTGTAATTCCGCCACTCAGAGACTGACATAGGAAGACCACCATGTGTTTGAGGCCAGCCTGGGGTACACAGCAAGACCCTGTCTCAGAAAAATATTATAGATGAGCCTCTCCCTCTCTCCCAGATTCTGGCTTCGTCCCACCCTGTTTCAAAATATTTGTGCACACTATGAAGATGTGTCTCTGCTTACGGTGACTTCTGATTGGTTTAATAAGGAGCTAAATGGCCAATAGCTAGGCAGGAGAGGATAGGTGGGATTTCCAGGGAGAAAGATGAAGAGAAGGAAGAATCTAGGTGCAAGGATCTCGCCAGAGACTCTGAAGAAGTCAGACATATGGTACAGAACAGAGGTAAATGAGCCACATGGCAGAATGTACATTAATAGAGACACCATGTAATCTGATCCACCATGTGTCCTCCAGTGCCTGCTTGACTGCTGATGCCCAGAACTATCAGTTGTCAAATGAGCACATGAGGCCCCAGGGCATGTCTTGGAACATAGGGCTAGTGAGAAACCATCCATCCCTATCCATCCATCATTCATCCACACACCTACACTTAACATATCTCTGACCTGTGCAACTCGTGTGGCCATTCGATGAACCTCACAGTCCATCCCACATGAGGACCATGAAAAGCCAGATCAACAACAACCATTAGTTGGTTTCCATTCTGAGAGCACGAGACTGAGGTGGGGGAGGGAACATTGGAATCAGGTGAGAAAGCAGGTCCAGGGCATTCTGGGAGAAAGGTAGCAAGCACAAAGCTGCAGCTTGAGCTTAGTGTGCCAGAACCAGACAGACACCAATGTGATCTGGAAAGGTCAGGAATCAAGGGGACAGGAAGAAAAAGGGAGGCCGAGGCAGCCACCTCTCCTGCCCCACCTCTGGATCTCACCGTATGTCGTCTTCTCTATCAGCCGCCCATCTTCACAGAAGTTGTCTGTAGCTCTGCCTAGGAGGCCACGCACTGTGTAATCCTGTGGGGACAGGGCAGGGAAGTCCCCACTCTAAGCTCTGGCGCTAAGCAAGTGCCAGCCTGATGCTGGGTGGGGCTCGTGGGGCTCCATACACAGCGTTCCTGCTGCCCTTCCTGCCCTGGGGGCGGCTGCGGGCCCGGCTCTGGAGCTTGGAGGAGCTCCTGCGCTGTTCCCAGTGACCTGGACAGGGAGCCAGCACTGGTCTCCACCCACCTGCAGCCACCCAGCCAAACCGAGCAGACTGTGACCCCACATACGGCCCGCCAGCCTCTGCCCAGCCTCTGCATGGGCTAAGTTTGAATGCCCATGTCAAGGCCAGCGCTCGCTGCTCACAGAACTCCCCTGCCTCCAACTCTGTACAGACAACTGCCTCTTCCTGGGTGCTAACAGTGAGGAGGACAGAGATGGTGGTGACAGTGTTATTGACTCAGCTTGTACTCTGTGCCAGGGACTGAGCCAAGGCTCACTTCACACGCAGTCACTTTAATCCTCAAAGTAACTGTCTCAGGGAATGCTCTCTTCATTCCCATCACTTGAGGAAACTGAGGCATAAAGATGCTCCACCAAGGACAGGTGACCTGTGGCTAACAGAGGGGTAAAAGATGGATTTCTGTCCCCTCCTCTTTTTTTTTAACTGCTGGGTATGGAGAACCTTGTGCATATTAGGCAAGTGTCTCACCACAGCCCTGAATGGGGATTATGAACTGGATGGAGCCTTTGGGTCCCATATTCTGTGCTGTTGAGTACCGAGGACATAGACCTAAAGTGTCCCCTTCGCAGTGCCACAGTCTAGGGCCCTACCAGGCCCTGGGGTGTCCCCATATTTTTGGAGCACCATACCTTGGTGAGGTGAGCCTCATACATGTCGGTGAGGAGTCTGCACCCATGTCCCACGGCGAGCACTGAAAGGCAGCCACACCCCTCTCAGACCAGAGTCCCTGGGACCACCCTTGCTGTTCCCTGCCACCAAAACTCTCTCCCTCCTCCTGTGCTGCAGCCAGAAGGGGACATGGAGCGCTCTGACACCCAGGTTAGAAGCCTCTCTGAGCAGATGTCAACACTGATCTCCAGGGGTCCAGCATGGTGGGAAATGGGCCTGAGGAAGCTCCCAAGGGGCTCTGAAACACCCCCAAAGCAAAAGGCCACTGTCCCAGCTCCACCAAACTGCAATTACATTTGGGGTGGGAGGGGTGGGCCACACCTGTAATTGCAGCCCTTGGGAGGCTGAGGTTGGAGAGTCTTGAGTTCCAGGCCTGCCTTGTAAGTATTCAGCCACTGTCTCAAATAAATACACAAATACATACATTTTAAAAATAAAATAAACCCTGAGTTAAGGTGACACATGCCTATAATCCCAGTGCTCAAGAGGATCAAAAGTTCAAGGTTATTCAGAGCAAGCTGGAAGCCAGCTTGGGCTCACTGAGACCCTGTCTCAGAAAGCAAAAGTAAGTATTTGGCTTTTCTGACCCTAACCTTTAACGTCTTCGGCCCTAAAGCTCTGCATCAATACAACAGACAAAGATGCTCAGGCCTGTGGATACCACACAGATTGAGAGAGGCAATGCACAGGAAGCTATGGGTACAAAGGAAAGACCTAGAATAGTGGTCTATGGGGCCACTTCCTGCCCATTCCCTGATCTGTTTACCCCTCTGTCTAAGGAAATGAATGGCTTTCCATTCACTGTTGGAGAGGGGGACAGGGAGGGGATATGAGATCATGTCTGACTGTACCTCAGGAAGAAAGATGAGGGAACCAAGACTGTGGAGGCTGGAAAGCGGGGCTACCACATGACCCCGAGGCCACAGATGGCTTGACTCAGGGCTTTGTATCCAGCTCCAGCAATATCCAGACCCTAGCTGGAGGAGACAGTCACATGCCTAGGCTGCACCCTAACTTGATGGTGGCTCTGGGGACATGAGCATTTACTGGCCAGGCCAGGTCGCCTCAGCTCCAGTCTCGGTCTCTTTCCTCCTAACATCACACAGCATCTATCACAGGTTTGGTAAATCAATGTTTCCTCCTAACATCACACAGCATCTATCACAGGTTTGGTAAATCAATGTCCCCAGAAGGCCGTGAATCACATGCCATCCTGAATCGCATGCCATGTACCCCTGACAGAGGTGGGACCTGCTGTTCACAAATCATCCTCCCAGCGGATGAGACATCTGGACTCACGGGAGACAGCAGCGGTGAGAAAGGCAGGTCAGATAAGGTGTGGGCTGCGCTCCTGACCCTTCTGACCCTTCCCCAAGCCCCATAGCCCCCCAGCCCACAGCCCCACAGCCCCGCAGCCCCACATCCCCAGCCCATCTCTCACCAAGAACGCCAGAAGCCTGGCCATCCAAGCGATGTCCAACACCAATCTTCAGGCTGGTGAACGCTGGGCCACGTACTGGAAAGGGAAAGCCAGTTCATTTTCTCAACTAAGGAGCCCTGGGGATGGCTTTGGCATGAGGCCCTCATTCCTAGAACATCAGAGCTGTTGGGGGTCAAATTATGACTCTCTGCCTCCGCCTCCATGGACCTGGAAGCTGGGACCAGGACTATTTCTCCAGTTCCCTGGTCCAGAGAAAGGGCAACCCAAGAATCTCCTCATCTGCTCTATCAACATTCTCCCCTTAAGAGGCTCCAAGACCAGACATTACACCGGGGATCCAGACTGTGGGGCTCTCCGCACAGCATCTGCTGACAGAAAGCCTGGCCATTCTCCCACTGAGACTGTGGGCTCCCTGAGGTGAGATCTAGGGCCCTCTGCCCACAGTACTGCCCTATGACCCCAGAGTCAGTCTCTCAACTACGGAAAGGCTGCATACAGCTTAACGTGTCCCTGCACTTGGGAGGCAGATGGAAAAGATCAGGATCAGGACCTCAAGGTCACACTCAACTATATAGTGAGTTCAAGACCAGCCTGGACTACAGGAGGCTCTGTATCAAAAGCAAGGGCTGGTGAGGAGATTCGGCAGGCTTGCTGCAAAGCCTGATAATCCCACATGGTGGACTGAGAGAATTGACTCTCGAAAGACGCCCTCTGACCTCCACGTCCATGCCTTGGCATCCATTCATATGCACACATACATACAAATAATACTCTTTTTAAAAACAGACCTACCTCACAGAACTGTGGTAAGGAGAAAGGTAACACTGTGTGTACAGAGCAGGTATTAATTAATAATAACATAAGTCCATCTGAAGTTCTGTTTCCATACAGAGTTCTAGAATAGTCACGAGTCAGCACACCACAGCCCACACAGATCATCAAGTCTACTTTGTTCTGAGACAGGGTCTCACTGTGTTGCCCGGGTTGGCAGGGAACTCCTGAGCTTAAGTGACCTTCTCCTTCAGCCTCCCTAGCAGACAGGACTCCGGGTGTGCACAACTGCGTCCCACAGTGGTTTACACTTCAGTCTTGACTGGAACGTAAGAAGGCTCCCTCCCTCCTTTCCCTACCGTCTCCACTGCACTACACTGGCAGAGCTGAGCAGTGCTGAGGAAACCACATGGCCTGTGAGGCTTAAAATGTTTAAAATCCTCCCCTCCTAAGGAAGTTTGTCAGTCCCTGGTCTAGAAATCTGACCCAGGCCAGGGATTTCCCCTAACAGTCAGTATCGTGCCTGGCTCTGCCTTACCAAGTCTGTGGGTAGTGAGGGTGGGCACGCTGGTGGCTGTGAGAGTCAACTTCTTCTCCTCACTGCCTTCTGCAGGGCCTAGCAAGAAGTGAACTCGCTGTTTCGGAGCAGGAGGTTTCGCTGATGCATTGAGACCTAAACACAAAAGAACACATTGTCAAAACTGTCCCAACACCTGGGAGAAGGGGTAAGCCTATGATAATGTAGAAGATAGATTTGCATAACGTAGAGAACAGAATGAGAGTCCTTAAGAACCTGGGCATTGGGGCTGGAGAGATGGCTCAGCGGTTAAGAGCACTGGCTGCTCTTCAAGAGGACCCACGTTCAATTCCCAGCACCCACATGGCAGATCACAACTGTCTGTAACTCCAGCTTCAGGTAATCTGACACCCTCACATAGACATACATGCAGGCAAAACACTGATGCGTATACAATAAAAATAAAGAAATTATTTTTAAAAATAAAAGAAGAGGAGGAGGAGGGAGGGAGGAGGAAGAGCAGCAGCGTCTGGACATGGGTGGTGGGGAGCCCAGCCTGCCTCTGCAGCCAGGGCTACACAGAGAAACATTGTCTCAAGAAAAAAACAAACAAACAAAAAGCACAACAAGAGCCCTTAAGAAAGACTGGGCTGGAAATGCGGAAATGTATCTCAGTGGGTGGAATATTTGTACAACATGCAAGATGCCCTGGGTTCCATCCATCCCCAGCACTCATAAACAGAGGTGATGGTACACCAATGTAGTGGGAAGTGAGGCCAGGAGGACCAAAAGTTCAAGGTTATCCTCACTTTACATGGCAAATTTGAGAGACTACATGTGAGTTGTTTAAAAAACGAAAGAAGGAAAAAAGAGGAAGGAAAAAACGGGGTTTGAAGCTCAGTGTGGTGGTGCATGCCTGTGATCCCAGCACTTGGCAGTCCACGTGGAGATAGGAGCGTCAGAATTCTTAAGTCCTTGCTGATTTCAATGTCGGATTAATTAATTACTCAAAACCCCGTCTCAAAAAAGCCAAGAAAAAAAATGTTTCAAATTCTAACTCTATAATAGTAACCGTGCGAAAATCAACAGTATGGAATGCGTTTCTCTACCACAAAATAGCGCAGAGTGGGGAGTAACGAAAAGTATCCAAGAGAAACCCAGGAAATGGCTATAACCAGGCAAACGTGTCACATTGTGTCTTGTGTTGATTCTGCAGGGAGAATCCGAATCAGCGTGGGACGCCGGGTGGAACTAATGCAGAACAGCGGGTCCGCGTCGAAGCACTCACCTTTAAGCAGCTGCAGCTCCACGGTCTCCCGTAAGTGCAGCCATTTCAGCCCCGGAGGTTTGTAGACCGCGAAGAGGCCCTGCAGTCGAGCCAGGCCCGAAGACCCCATGGCTGGAACTCAGCAGTACCACACCATCCAGAAGCTGGGATGCAGACGGAAGTGCCGTATGGTCCTGTCCCAAATGTGGTCCCTACTGTAGGTCGCTGCCATGTTTCCTCAGCCGGAAGCGGTTCTCACCTCATTGTCCTCCGGAGGGAAACATGTGGTGGAGAAGGATATAGGGCCGAATGTTGAGCAGAATAGCTCTCGGTTGTGTTCTTTCGCGGATCCCTTTCAGGAGTTTTTTGTTTGTTTCTCATATATCCCAGGCTGCTCTCGAACTTGCTATGTTGCAGAAAATTCCTGATTTTCCAGTCTCTACTTCCCAAATGCTGGGGTGACAGGTGTAATTCAGGGCTTTGTTTTTGAGATAGGGTCTCAGGAAGCCCACACTGGCTTCGAACTTACTAAATAGCCAAGAAGGACCTTTAACTGATCCTCTGGCTTCCAGCTTTCACGACAAGCATGCGCTATCAATAAGGCCTGAAGTCTTGGTCAGTGGCAGACAGATCCTGTGGCTTTCTTTTTCATTCCCCCGTCCATAGTACATTTCCGATCAAAATGCCCTAGTGAGAGTAGTCCCCAGGGAGTCTTTTGACTTTTCCGGCCTCCGTCTTGCCAGCGGAGCCCCGCCCACCCACCGCGGACATCCGCTGCCATGGTGACCCTGCTGCTTCGCTCCCTGCGCCCTAGCCGCAATCTCCCGCGCAGTCTGCGGCTAGCTGTAGGTGAGCATCTCTGACCTGGGCCTCCGCGGCTACTGGAGGAACCGGGCTCTTCTTACCGTTGTACCCCTTTCCTGCCTCGCAGATGTGCCCCGCAGGTCCAGGAGCCATGGCACCCGCCTGCTGTACCCGGACCACATCCCCACGACCTCGCTGCAAAAGATGCTGCTGGCCGCAGGCTCGGCGGGAATGGCGCTCTACAACCCCTATCGCCACGGTAAAGCCATTTGCTCCCCGCCCTCGAAAGCCCGGCCGGGTCATGACCTCTGTCAAAGCCTTGGTTTCCTGTAGGTAGCCAGAGTCAGGAAGTCTCGGGCACCCAAACCTGGCTACATCTATCTCATAGTTCCCAGGAACGTTTATGATAATCAGGTGCCTGGTTCTAGCTGAAGTCACTATAATGAATCTGCTGGGCAGAGGGGGAAAGGAGAAAAAGCGTGAAATCTACAGGTCTGCTTTTTTGTAATTCTGGGGAGAGTCTGTCATCCAAGCATGTTACTCACTGGACTGAATGACTTGCAGGTACACACACATAACATTCTCACTAGGTTGTAAACTTGGTAAGATCAAGGACTGTGGTCTTCAGCATTTTCTTTGCTGAATCAGTTCAAGACCAGCTTGAGTTACATAGCCAGTCTTTGTCAAAGATAGAAAAGAAGATGGGAGGGAGAGGAAGAAGACATGGAAAGTTGTTTATATAGGATCACATATCTACTGACTGTACCTGGACTCAAATCTAGCACCGTTTTTTTTAAATTGTTGTTTTGTTGAAATGAGGTCTCATGTAGACTAGGCTGGCCTCTAACTCACTACTTAGCTTAGGATGACTTTGAATTCCTGATTGTCTTGCCTCCCCACCCCGAGAATGCTGGGATTACAGGCATGTGCCCCCATGCCGAGTTTATGTGAGGCTGGGACTCAAATGCTTTGAGTGTACTAAGCAAGCACTCTGCCAGCTTAGTTACATCAGCCCTTCATCACCATTTGATCTCGAGCTTGCCCTGTACTAATCAGTGGAAACATGATAATCTGTTTTGATAATGGGCTATGAAAGTGACTCAGCACTCTGTTGATTAGTAGATTAGAAATGTTAAGAAAGTCTAGTAGACTAGTAATGTTAAGAAAAACAGCTAGCTGTCCTGGAAGCACTCACCTTTAATCTGGCACTTGGGAGGCAGAGGCAGGAAGATCTCTGAGTGCTGGAGGCCAGCCTAGTCTACACAGTGAGTTCCAGGACAGCCTGTACTACAAAGACAAATGTTTCAAAAAACAAAAAGATCCCATCCTCCATCTGTGCCCATTTCTGTCCTTTTAGACATGGTTGCAGTTCTAGGGGAGACCACAGGATACTGCACACTGAAATTCCTCAGGGATCAGATGAAGAAGGATCCAGAGGGTGCCCAGATCCTACAGTAGGTCCCAACTTTGCCTTGACATTTGGCAGGGGTCCTGATCTTTCTAGAGTCACACTGTGTCACCCGGTAAGGAACCTTTCAGAGAACCATGGGTGGATGCACTGCCTGGACGCTGCTCAATACCAAGAGCACACATATGTGTATGTAGTCTGGATCCCCTGGGTTGTACAATATTAGCCCAATGTCAGCCTGAAGACTCTGCGTGTATTAAGCTCTCAGTGTGTTAGCTGTGCCCCTCCAAATGTGCTCTCACTGTCCCCTCCCTGCAGTGTCACTTGTGAGGACCCTTATCACAGCTGTGGCCCTTCTTTGACTAGATCACGACTTTGAAGGCACCAGCTCAGCCCTAGTTTGTGATTGTCTCCACGGTCCCCAATACTGCAGTGCTCCATTAGGGCTTGTGGCTACATGGCTGTCCCGAGGCCCTTTGCCCACACACCTTCCTCTATGTGGCCCTTTCACTGGCTGTGGCTGACAGACTCTCAGCCTCACCTCCTGCATTCTGTCTTTCAGAGAGCGTCCCCGGATCTCACTGTCCACCCTTGACCTAAGCAAGCTCCAGAGCCTGCCTGAAGGCTCTCTGGGCCGTGAGTATCTGCGCTTCCTGGATGTGAATGTGAGTTTCCAGCCTCTTTGCATCTAGTTACCAACAAGGGCACAGGGGTGGCATGGGGATGGTAGCCTCGGGCAGGAGGATGCCCGAGCTGCCGACTCGGGCAGGACTGCTTTTCAGTCATTTCTCTATGGGATGGGCAAATGGGCTGGGAATGTCATCTCAAATACTGGCACCAACTGGAGATTATTAACCTCCTGTTGCATGGCAGCTGCCAGGCTGGGTACATGATCTGGCTGGATCCTCCCAGTGACCCTGTCAAGTATGTTCTGTTGTCCTCCTCTTGCAAGAGATGAGGACACAGACACCAAGCACAGCTGGTACCACTCAGGGCAGAGTTCAACCCCAGAGTACTCTCTGAACCGCTGCCCTGTGTTCCCCTGCTGCCCTGGAGGATGGCTGGTGTGGCTGGCGCTCTCCAGCACCAGGCAAGGCAGATGGTGGGAGGAGAGGGGACTCCCAGCTATTGAAGGACTCACCACTCAGCACCTGCCTTCCATCATTCCATGTGATGGGGTGGAGCAAGCCAGGTCGCTGTCCCTGTGGAGCTTGTGCTCTTATTAGAGAGGCAATTAATAAAGTAGTTTTAAAAATTCAGATGAAAATGTAGTGGTCTGGGGATATGGCTCAGTTGGTAGAGTTCATCCACAAAGCCCTGGGTTCAGTCCCCAGCACTGATGAGCTTGGCATAGAGTGGAAGGAAGAGGATCTGAAGTTCAGGGCCAGCCTTACCTGCGTAGTGAGTTTTTGGCCAACCTGGGATACACGAGACCCTGCCCCTCCCCCTTTTTGAGGTTGAGTGTTTCTTGAGTACTTAGAATGCACCAGACATCGTTCTCAACCACGGAACACAATGAACAAAAATAGCCAAATGCCTGCTGCTGCAGAGCCTGCAGCCCAGCAGATGGGTGCTCTGGAGGGAACACCACGATGGGGCAGAAGATGTCTCTGGAGCGGGTGGAGGAGGCCACTCACGGTAGAGTGGTCAGGAGAGACCTTTCCAGGGAGACTTGGAAGATAAGGTGTGGTCAGCCATGTGGAGTTCTGGGGAAGAGCACTCTAAGTAGATGAATCAGCAAGTTCAAGGACAGTTGAAAAGGACGATGCAGAGCCTGGGATGACAGCTTTGCTGGGACAGTGCTTGCTGCTTATGGGGACCTGAGTTTGGATCCTCAGCACCCGTGTGCAAACCCAGAGCTGGCAGTTCTTACCTGTAACCCTAGCACTTTGGAGGTAGGGATAGCTGATCCCAGAGCATCCTTGCCAGCCAACCGACCTGAATCAGTTCAGTCCAGGTTCAGTTTGAGAACTGGCTCGAAAACTAAGGTGAGAAGTGAGGAAGACATTCAACACCAACTTCTGGCCACACACACATAAAAAAAGGGAAGAAAATCAAGTCCGATGCTATGATGTGTACCTACAAGCCTAGTACTTGAGGGAGTGAAGCAGGAGGTTTGCCACTGAGTTCAAGATCAACCCTGGCTACATAGAGAGTAACCAGCCCTGCCATACTTACCTGGCAAGACCCTCTCTTTAACAGGCAGATGGGCTGAAGCAATGGCTCAGTGGTTAAGAATGCTTATTGCAGCCGGGCGGTGGTGGCGCACGCCTTCAATCCCAGCACTCGGGAGGCAGAGCCAGGCAGATCTCTGAGTTCGAGGCCAGTCTGGTCTACAGAGTGAGATCAGGACAGGCACCAAAGCTACACAGAGAAACCCTGTCTCAGGGGGAAAAATGCTTATTGCTCTTTCAGAGGACCAGGGTTCAATCTCCAGCACCCACATGGCAGCTAACAACCTTTTGTAACTACAGTTCCAACTCTCTTCTGGCCTCTGTAGACACCAGGCATGTATTTGGTACATAGATACATACCCATAAAAAACACCCATGTGTATATTAAAAGAAGAAATTGACAAAACAAAACAATGGAGGGTCTGGGGATATAACTCAGTAGTAGACAGCTTAGCATGCATAAGTACATAGATAAACAAAACACTCAAGGACTTGAAAGGGAAACAGTGGCTGGTAGTTGTGCTGGGGCATGGGAAAGAAACTGCATTTTGTAACAGGAGCCATTAAAAGTCATTGGAGGAGCCAGACTGTGGTGATGCATGCCTTTAATCCCAGCACTCAGGAGGCAGAGGCAGAAGGATCTCTGTGAGTTCAAGGACAGCCTGGTCTACAAAATGAGTCCCAGGACAGCCAGAGCTGTTACACAGAGAAACCCTGTCTCTAAATTAATTAATTAATTAATTAATTAATTAATTAATTAGAGGCATTGCTTCAAGACGGTGCCTTGCCCTGCCTCTTGCCCTCTCCAGGCACCTGTGCCTTGGCAGGGCAGTCACCTGCCCTAGTTTCACCAGGCTGCAGGTTATTTCATCAGTGAGAACCTGTCCCAAGTGTCACCGCGGGAGGGACAGCTTCTGCATTCTCCACAGCCTTTAGTGCTGTCGCCGGGGAGGGAGGAGGCCTCTTAGGGCCGTCCTGGGTGCCCTACCCAGCATCTTCCCTACTGTGGTGGCAGTCTGGAGATGTAGCACTTCTAGGACAAAGTTTGAGCCCTACAGAGATGTATGTAGGCGAAGGTTCGAGATAAGGCCACGGAGCTGCGGCTGACAGTCAAAGGAATGGAAGTAATACCCTGCCTCTCTTCCTAGTTTCACAACAGCCCTGCACAAATCCCTCCTGGAAAAAGCCTTCGTCTTCAGGGCACTAATGTGGCTGATTGATGATGAGTGTCAAGGCTACTGACTTTAAAGGCAACAGACTCTGTTCCAGGTTAATTCAGCCACCTCAGCTGTGTGATCTTGGGCCCCACACTCCACCCCTCTAGCCACGTTTTTCTCACCTATTTCTAAAAACCTTCTTGGTTACTGAAAGGGCAAAATATGGCAGTGTACGTAAAGGATGTCATATATAGTGGGCACATCGTAGGCCCTCAGTGAAAGTAGCTGCTGTTACTACAATTGCTTCAGCCTTGCATAGCAAGAGAACATAAGGTCTTGAGACCCAGCAAGACCACGGATTAACACCAAGCATTAGCACTATGCCAGAGCTGCCCCAAAGCCACAAAGACCTCAGGTCTATCAGCTCCTGGGTAAGCTGAGGGCATGCTGGGAGCAGGGCTGAGTAAGTGAGGTGATCCACCTCCTTACCTGTGCTCAGAGAAGTGCCTGGGAGTGTACACACCTGTAACCCGAGCATTAGGGAGGCTGCCGCAGAAGAACTGCCATGAGTTCAAGGTCAGCCAGGGCTACATAACAAGAGACTTTCTACAAAACAATGAAAAGGGAGTCATTGATCTGGGTCCTGGCACAGGCACCAGAGTCACAACAGTGAGTGAAATAGCAAGCCCTGTCCTCAGGTGTACAAATTAAAGCTCCCTACCGGCCCCTTGATTAAAAAAAAACAAAACCAAAGGAAGCAGATAGAATTAGTTTAATAATAACATTTGGGTATTTACTTATTTTGATTTTTGGGACAGGCCCACAGCCCAGGGTGGCTTCAAATTCTCTATGTTGCTAAAGATGTCCTTGGACTCCTGATCCTTTTGCCTCTACCTTGAAACTGCTGGGATTACAGCTGTGTGCCACTGTGCTTGGTTTTATGCAGTACTGAGGTTATGCTAGGCCCTCGCCCTACCCACTGAGCTTCACTCTCAGCTCCATGTCAGTCATTAAGTTTAGCAACAGTGTATTTATTTTGTGTGCACAAATCTGTGTGTGTATATTCTAGAGGTTGATATCGTGTCTTCCTCAACCTTAGGTTTCAAGTCAGCTCCAACTTGGAGCTCATCCAGTCCCAGGTCACCTCCTAGCCTCGTGTTTCTGCCTCCCATGAGCTGGGTTTAAAGGCACATGTGCTGCAACTACCCTTCCATTTAGTTAGTTTAGTTAGTTTAGTTAGTTAGTTGTCTGTATCTATCTATCTATCTATCTATCTATCTATCTATCTATCTATCTATCTATCTATCTATCTATCATCTATCTATCTATGGTGTGGCTTCTGTGGATTGAATGCTTGTACAACAATCATTTTATTGACCAAGCCATTTCCCCAGGTCCTAGTATGTTCATTTTTTATGCAACCAATCCCAGAACTTCCTGTCTTACGAAACCTAAAGTCCATACGCACTCCCCCTTTCCTCACTAAGGCTCTAGACTCCACAGGCTGCCAGCATTGTGAGTTGGAGCAGGCTCCGTGGGGATCTTCCCCTGTTGGCAGGTGTGGGTGGAAACAGAATCCTCAGATAGGGTATGAGTTTGGTGGGAGTGGCTGAGAATCAACTAGCTGCAGGCCAGATGGGCCCTGGGGGCAAATGGGGAGGGGTCTAAGTAAGGGTCATGTTTGCCAGAGGGTCTCCCCGGATACACGAGCACCTACCCGTTTTGTGGACGATGAGGAACTAGCCTATGTGATCCAGAGATACCGAGAGGTGCACGACATGCTTCACACCCTGCTGGGGATGCCCACCAACATGCTGGGTGAGTGCTGCAGAATAGCCAACTGAGTGAGCAGTGGCAAGGTGGCCCACCAGGTCTGTTTTCCAGGCAGAGCCCCTGTTCAGTCCTCTTCTTTACCAACTAGCTCAGCTCCTGCCTTGTCTTCTGCATTATATGTGCATCCTGGTAGCACCCCTGCTGTACATCCCCATTCCTCCATGGCTCCCCACCCTTGTCTCAGCATCTAAACACCAAGGATCCCTGCTTCTGAAACCCTTAGCAACTCCTGTAGCCTGTACAGACCATTGTCAGCCTGGCCTTTGAGATCTGCATGCTGTCCCCAAGATTCCCCTTTTGGACCTTCCCTCACTTCTAGCTAAATGCCCCACAGGACGGGACTAGACACCAGCAAACAAACCCTAGAAATGTAAAAGGAGAACATGCCTCCCTGGGGGCCATTCCAACATCGCTGACTCTCCCGCTCCTCACCTTCTCACCTCTTCTCCCTCCCTCACCTCTAGGAGAGATTGTGGTAAAGTGGTTTGAGGCTGTGCAGACCGGCCTGCCCATGTGCATCCTGGGAGCACTCTTCGGACCCATCCGCCTCCGTGCTCAGTAAGTTTTCTGGGGGTGGGAGGAGACCACAGAAGGTCTGGAGCTCCAGGAAATGGGGAAGGGCATGCAGGGGCCTGGTGCCTCGCCAGGAAGCAAGGATGAGAAGAATGAGGCAGAAAAGGAAACTCAGGCAGTGAGCAAACCTGAACCCCAGGGCTTTAGGCCAGGGCTCAGGGGCTGGATCAAAATGAACAGTGTCGACATGAAGGTGCTCTTTCTGGCATCGGACAGCTCTGTATTTAAATCTGAGCTCCATTGCAGGCAGGATGTGTGCTGTGGGGCATGGGAGCTTTCCTCACCGAGATCTGCTTAGGTCTGGGGGAGGGCTGACTGAGCCCAGAGTCTGCTGCTGTACCTTATGTCTTTTCTTCCTGTCCCACAGGAACCTGCAAGTGCTGTTCTCTGAGCTGATCCCTTGGGCAATTCAGAATGGGCGCAGGGCCCCATGTGTCCTCAATCTCTACTACGAGCGGCGTTGGGAGCAGCCCCTGACAGCCCTTCGGGAGGAGCTGGGCATCAGTCCTCCCCCGAAACATATGCAGGGCCTGGCCTAGGCTGAGCTGCTGCCTGGGAGGCCGGGTTTGCCTCTGCACACACTGCCTTCCGGGGACAATGAATGCCTTCTACTGCCTTTATTTCTTCTCTTTGAACCTTGAGCTCAGAGCGCCACTGATCATAATGTTTATGGTCACTGCTGTCATGTGCCTTGAGGGCCAGCCCAGGAGAGAGCAGGCGGGGCAGTGAGGGGCTGTGAGCTATCCTGAGAGCAATGTGTGGCCTGGAACAGTCCTCTTGGATCATTCTGGATTGTTCAGGTCTGAAGCCCCTCCTCTGGACAGTTACCCTTACAGGACATTCTGTCAAGCTGTCTTCCAGAGTCTTGACTACTCACTACATCCTGTTCCTGTTCCAAAGCCCCGAAAAGAATGGTGGGAAATGAGTGGCATCTCTGCTGTCTGAATAAAGTCTCCCATCAGGCCGAGAGTCTGCTGGTCTCCCCTTGCCTTAGGCCTGGGGTACTGGTTGGGGGGATTCCTTCCCAATTTGGACTTCAGTTGCTTGTCTCTGTCATTGGGTCTGAGTCAGGCAGACTAAGAATCAAGCCCCCAGCCAGCAGAAAGCTAACAGCAAGTCCCTTCTATTTCTAAGCCAGACTTCTGACATCAACATAGGAACAATGATCGAGCCTATGGCAAGAGTCAGAGGATAAAGCTGTTTCTGCCTCCCCCTGATAAAAACCAACAAAGTGGACCAGTGATGTGGCTCAGCAGTAAAGGCACTTGCCACCAAGCCTGACAACCTGATTTTGATCCCCAGGACCCAAATGGTGGAGAAAGAATGGTCTCCCACGAGTTGTCTACCAATGTCCATAATGCATGTGTCCATATACATATACATACACCTGTACACTCATACACAATGAAATTTCAAACCTGGAAGAAAATTGCTGCAAGCTGCAGGAAAATGTAATGGAATTCAGCTACTGTCACAAAAGCTACTACTTGGAAGGGCCCGGCTAGCTCAGTTGGTAGAGCATGAGACTCTTAATCTCAGGGTCATGGTTCATGTCCCATGTTGGGCACCAGGTCTTGAATATGATTAAAGGCCTGCCTTAGTAATCTCCTTCCCAGGGGCCCAGAAGAGAAGCTAGCAATGGCACGAGTTATTTCCGGGAAAAGAATTTTTTTTATTCTATAATTCAATTCAATCTTACATATCAGCCCCACCCCCACCCCGGGAAAAGAATCTAAGAACACTGAGCTCTTGGTCCATCTACTTTATTCCTCTGGATAACATCCTATCTACGCAGCTTCAGTTCTGTTCTCGTGCCTGGCTCCTTTCTTGCCCGATTTCTCTACACTTATCTGCCGTCCCCTCTAAGTTCTGTCTTAATTCTCTCATCTTAGTTCTGCCTCATCTCGGTCTTTCTCATCTCGTTCTTCCCCATCTGGCTCTTCCTCATCTTCCATCTCATTTTTCTAGTTCTCCAGTCAAAATCCTCCCTCAGTCTGAGGTTTACAGATCTATACCCATGCAACAGCAGTGCTCTCGCTAAAGCAAGGTCACCAGGCTTGAATTCTTACAGGGTCATAAAGGCAGAGAAGAGTTCTCCTCAGGCAGTGACCACCAGGCTTTCTTTTACAACCCAAAAGGGGAGTGGTAAAGGAGGAGGTCAACTGAGAGCTGAAATCGGTTAATATCTAAAATGTTAGTATAAATACCACTAAGGCTGTGTAAGAAAGGAGGGTCTGAGCTTAATTTGCTTTAATTCGGGAGATCGTTTGGCCCTGGATGCTTGATAGGTATTTTAGATAAAATATACTGTTAGGAGTTCTTGGAAGCACACATAACATACAAGGAAATCGTTGCAGGAATCAGTATATATATATATATATATATATATATATATATATATATATATATATAAAATATCACCAAGACTTCCTAAGCCATGACTTGACTTGACCTTCAGAACAGTCCTTGACCTTTCCAAGTAGTAGCTTGTATGATAGTAGCTGAATTCCATTATATTTTCTGCGGCTTGCAGCAGAAAATACAACAGGGCCCATTAGACAATTTACAAATGTAAAAGCACTTACTACCAAGCCTGAAGACATGCGTTCCTTCCCCAAGACCCACATAGTGGAAGGTGACCACCAGCTTCTTCAAGTTGTCCTCTGATCACCATGTATGCACCATGGTGTGCATGCACATACATATACAAAATAAATATTACGTGAAAAATTTTTTATTAAAAATGATGGGCTGGAGAGATGGCTCATCGGTTAGGAACACGTGTTGCTCTTACAGAGGACCTGGGTTTAATTCCCAGCACCCACATGGTGGTTCATAACCACCTTCAACTCTAGTTCTGTGATCTGTTGCTCTCTTCTGATCTCTGTGGGTCCCATGAACAATGTAGTGTCGGGGGCATAGCTCAGTGTAGAGCGATCGTCTAACCTGCACAAGGCTCTGGGTTTGATCTTCAACACCACAGGTACACTCATAACACCATAGGTAGCATCGATACTGTCTGTGCTTGAGCAACAGGCTCCAGAGGCAGGCCTTGCCCCACCAGTGACCTGCTCTGCTTCCTTCAGCAGTCTCACCTTCTACGAGCCTGTTTCCCATCTGTAAAATAGGTTTGGAACACCTAATGCACACAAGAGGGAGGCTTAGTAAGAGTGCCTGGCGGTATGTGTTACATCACCAGCACTTAGGAAATGGAAGTTATCATTGGCCGGGAAGGTCTATGGTGAGCTCTGAAATTACCAAAGACAAAGTTAAGTAGAAGAATTGCTACAGCTCACAGCTCCTCTGGCCAAAGGAACAGAATGTATATGGTAAACATCTGGGTGTGGCTGGAAAACACCAATGAGCCAAGTCCTGGGAGTCCACTGAGCTGGTTAGTTAGCTGCTGTCAATGCTCGTGTTAGCGCCCATGCAGCTGTTACAGAGAAGCCACTATATGGCAGGGCCAAAGCCAAGGGAGCTGAGCCTGGAGCGACTTCATAGAACAGGGGCTCTCCCTCCCTCCTAGAGGTAAAATACTCTTGACCACAGCAATGTAAGGGAGAAATGCTTCATCTTAGCTCACAGTTTCAGCCCGTCCTGGTGGGAAGGTGAAAGCAGCAGGAGTTTAGAAAGGCATCTGGGAGGGGGGCAGTGGTGGTGCACACCTTTAGTCCCAGCACTTGGGAGGCAGAGCCCGGCTGAGCTCGGCCAGCTCGTGTACCAGGCTTTCTTTTGGGCCACCAGCCAGCTCCCAATTTGTGATACGGAGACTTAGTAGTTACGAATGCTCGGCCTCATCTTAGCTCTTATTTTCATCTGTTTCTCTTTATTTACATTTTGCCTCTGGGCTTTTGACCTTTCTTTCTTTCCATATGTTCTGCTTTCACTGCTTTTCCTGGCTGGCTGGAGGGTGCCTGGCTTCCGGCCACAGCGTGTCCCTCTCTTTCTCCCCCATTCTCTTCTCTCTGGAACCTGATTCCTCCTCCTACTTATTCTCTCTGCCCACCAGCCCCGCCTGTCCCTCTCCTGCCTACGCATTGGTTGTTCACTTTTTATTAGACCAGTCAGGTGGCTTAGGCAGGCAAGGTGAAATAGCAACACATCTTTACATCATTAAACAAATGCAGCAGAAACAAATGTAACACATCTTCACCTAGTTAAATATTCGACAAGCCTGGTCTACAAAGTGAGTTCCTGGTCAGCCAGGGCTATGCAGAGAAACCTTTGTCTCAAACAAACAAACAAAAAACAGAAAAGAAAAGAAAGGCAACTGGGGGCTGGAGAGATGGTTTAATGGTTAAGAGCACTTGTTGCTCTTGCAAAGGACCCTGGTTCAATTCCCAGCACCCACATGGTGGCTCACAACCATCCCTACTCCAGTGCCAGGGGATCCAATGCCCTCTTCTAACCTGGTACTACTCTCTTCTGACCTCCACAGGCACCCACATGCAGGCAGAACATTCATACATATAAAATCAAATACATCTAATTGCTTCTCGGCCTTTTGGCTAAGATCAAGTGTAGCATCTATTCTTATCAGTTTAATGTCTAATAGATACATCCTCCATGCAAGGACAATACATTAAGTGGATTTTTGAAGCTAGGATTTGGAATGAGAGCTTGTTTCATCCATTCCATAGATTGACCTGGTATTGCAGTAGCTCTAAGAATGGTGGGGGAAAAAATCCAAACTTTTTGTTGGTTTTTGTTGTTGTTGTTCAAGACAGGGTTTCTCTGTGTAGCCGTGGCTGTCCTGGAACTTGATCTGTAGACCAGACTGGCTTCAAACTCAGAGATTTGTGTACCTCTGCCTCTCGAGCTCTGGGATTAAAGACTGTGCCACCATCACCCAGCTTTCATTTTGTTTGTTTGTTTGTTTTTATTTTTTTAAACAAAATTCTAAAAGCAGCTGGTCATTTCATATGCGCAATCAGGAAACAGGGACAAAGAATGCATGCCAGCACTCAGCTAGCTCTTTTTGTTAGTTTTGGTTTTGAGAGAGGTTCTCACCATGTAGCCTTGGCTAACCTGAAACTCACTATGTAGGTCATAGAACGCATAGAGATCTGCCTGCCTGTGCCTCCTGAGTGCTTGGATTAAAGGCATGCACCACCATGCCTGGCTAGTTTTCTTCATTTTATACCACCCAGAATTTTCTGCCCAGGGTCCCCCACAGGCATGTCCACAGGCCCATCTCCCAGGTGACTCTAGATTGTCAAGTTGACAAAACCATTACAGGACAGTGTCAGAGTTGAGGCCAGCTGATGCTCTTCTATATGCCAGCCCCACTTGAGAAGACCACTATGTCACCTTGGATTCTTAACCAGCCACAGGAGAGATTTTTTTTAAGTATTTATTTTTATTTTTTTATTTTATGTACATTGGTGTTTCGCCTGCTTGTACATCTGTGTGAGGGTGTCAGATTCCCTGGAATTGGACTTACAGACAGTTGTGAGCTGCCATGTGGGTGCTGGGAATTAAACCTGGGTCCTCTGGAAGAGCAGCCAGTGTTATTAACTGCTGAGCCATCTCTCCAGCCCTGAGATTTTTTTTTAATATTTTTATTTTATGTGCTTTGGCACTTTGCCTATAAGCATGTCTGTGTGAGAGTGTTCGGTCTCCTGAAACTGGAGTTACAGATAGTTGTGAGGCACCATGTGGGTGCTGGGAATTGAACATGGGTCCTCTGGAAGAGCAGTTGGTGTTCTTTCCAGAGAACCCAAGTTTGGTTCCCAGCACCCACATTCAGCAGGTCATGATGGCCTATAACTCTAGCTCCAGCGGATCTGAAGTCTGCTTCTAGCCTCTTGCAAAGAGAGTTGGGCCATCTCTCCAGCCCCTCCACTCCCCCAGGAGGGATTTTTTT